GAGAGAGGAGAGACCAGAGAGAGCAAGGGAAATGGGAGATTGGAGTTAAGCTGCCACAGTTAAACATCGCCGACGACGACGACAGACTTGGGTTTGCGCCGACGACCAACTTAGGTAAGATGCCATAGTTAAACATCTTCTCCGATGACCACCTCTGTTCGAATCCCTACTACCGTGCATAGAAGATTAGGTAAGTTCCACTTCTAATTTTTTTTTTTTTGCATTTGTGATGTCTGTAAATCTATTGATTTTTGTGATGAATTTGAGATGTTCTGGGTATGTTTTTTTTTCGTTGGTTGTGTACAAACAATGTTTTTGTAATGATGCAATCTAGGTGTTTGATGAAAGTCCTAAAAGAAAACAGAACTGGCCAGTGTAAAATAGAAACCAGAACTACCAAACCAAACCATAGAAAACAGTGAAAATATGGTTTATGATCTGAATTTATGTAGTGAAAATATTTTTATGTTTAGCAGTGAAAATATGGTTAATGTTCTGTAATGAAAATATGGTTCATGATCTGAAAATATGATTTTATTTTGTTTTCGATTATTGAGGCTTTTTAGTGTACAAAATGTGAGGGGTTTTGGACGTACGTGTCATATAGGGTTAGGATTTGCATTACATTATCATACACTCTACCTTTTAACTATCTAAATTCGCTTGCACTTTATTTTTTGTCTGTTTACTAGTATGCAGACTGAATTTTTGTTTCAAATTATATGCTTCAATGGACATTGAGTCCAACAATTCATCATTTTGTTTCAAGTTACATGTTTTGTTATGCAAGTTGCTGAAATTTTTGTGTACCTTAAATTATTGACCAATGTGTGTTACTATAGGGCCGCAAGGTGCATGAAGGTCAACCTCGCAAGTTACATTTTCCATCTACGGATGCCATGCAATACAATATGTATGACCCGGAATGTGTTCAACAAACAACCTTATATTTTGTTCTTTGTTTTTATTTTAATTTTGTAAATGATTAATGAAATTATGTTACTATGATCATAAGGTGGGCCAATATAACGACCCCGGTCTTTTCCCATTTGATTATTGTATCCGGACTGTTCCGTAGATTCTGTCATTGTATAATGGTTGTTGTTGTTGTCCAAGTGTTGGCTTGGAAAGATGTAAGCCTGTAGGGCATTTTATTCGATTATTTAGTAATACTCTGATGAATGAATTAATAAAATGTCTTCTTTAAATAATGCATGTCAATGATATATAATGGGTTAATTTTTAGGGCGTTACAGCCAAACTGAACCTTACTATTTTCCTTGCACGGATGGCACGCAAAAAAGTATGTGTGTACCAATATGTGTTGAATATATGATACTTAATATTTTTGATTGTTTTAATATAGACATATGTTCGTGAACAATGTTTGTAAATTTTACTTTCACATTGAATATGTACAGTTAGGCCAATGCAAATGGTGGACAATATTGGAAGCACATCTCTTACTCAATCAGGAATGGTGAACAACATACGTAGTCAAACTTCGACAGTTGGATCACAATTTGTTGACTTCAATGTAGATGTGAATCCAAATGGCCAAATTTTTTTTTTTTTTTTTTTTTTTTTTAGTTTAGTAGTACTACTTTTATGACTTTGGTTTGTAAACAATGGATGGTTTGGTTTGGTTTGTAAACAATGGATGGTTTCATTTGTAAACAATGGATGGATGTTTGACTTGAATGGATTGATGCATTTGTTTTGTTATTGATATCAACACCAAAACAAATTTCAAGACCAAAACAGAACATATATATTGCAACAGATATGGATGGATGTTTGACTTGAATAGATGGTTTAGATTAGTAGTAGTGCTGCTGCATTTGTTTTGTTATTGATAACAAAACCAACATAGATTGCAAGACCAAAACAGATCAGATATATTGCAACAAATATGGATGGGTATTTGACTTGAATTGATGGTTTAGAGTAGTAATAGTGTTGTTGCATTTGTTTTGTTATTAATAACAAGACCAAAATAGATTGTAAGACCAAAACAGACCCAAAACAACACAAATATATGGCAACAGATATATTGTAAGACCAAAACAACACAGATATATTGGAAGACCACAATAGCAAAGATATCTTGCAAGACCAAAACAGACCCAAAACAATACCAACACAGGTTCATGGCTGGAGTAAAAAAAGTTCGCAGGTTGTATACATCTGTTGCACCTGCTGTTTGTGCTTTGTAATAGTAACAACACAATCCATTAGTCCAGCACCAATCCAGCACAATCCATCATTAATAACTATCTATTAGCTATCACAATCCAATCCATTGGTCCAACATTAATAACTATCTATTACTCGAGCACCAATCCAGCACAATCCATCATCAATAACTATCTATTAGTCTATCATAATGCAATCCATTAGTCCAGCACCAATCCATCACAATCCATTACAACACGACATTCAATTCATAACAACGTTGAAGAGGTAACATATATTCTTCATCCATCATGTCTACTACATCCATAATTACATCATATCCAATACATCCATAATTACATTCATCAAATTCCCCAAAAACTAAATTTTTAAGTCATTTACATTACAAAGTACAAAATGATACATAATACAATCACATAAATCATCGCCTTGAAATTCTTTTCCATCCTTTGAAGCCTTCTGCCCTGGTCCTGAATTATATTGTCCATCTCCGAAAGCCTTGTCCTTACATCATTGAATTCCTCTGTTCTTATAGCTTTACGAAGTTCAGTATTGGAACGGATTGTGGAGGTAATATCCTCATCAGCATCGTTTGCGAACTTGAAGTAATTGCAGTGTTCCTCGTTACTCTACAAAGCATGACAATTAGTTAGTCAGATTACGTAAATAATTTTCCAAACAAAAATTTATACAGTCAACAGCAATTCCAAACAAAATTCATACAGTCAAAGGATTGCCAAACAAAATTTCATACAGTCAAAGGATTTCCAAACAAAATTTCTTAGTATTATTAGTTTGACTGTTTTGTATTATTAATTTTGTATTATTATTTCCAAACAAAATAAGACTGTTTTGTATTATTAATTTTCTTTTATTACTTACTATGACATGTTATATAGTTATATATATTTGATCAAAGAACTAAGCAGTCTTGCAATGTTTTCATGTTTTTATTTGTTTCTTTCTCTGTTATTATAGGCCTGCAAAGCTTATAAAGGTCATGAAAAAAAGTTTTGATTCCCTTGGTGGAATCATCTTTGAGGGTTGCAATGTGTCTAGCATATGCATATACAAGGATGCAGCAGTAAGAAAAGAATATGGAACCACCAATTAAGAAGCCAAACAAAGGTGAAGAAGATCATTAACAGTTCTTGGAGGAAGATATGAGTTGGAGAAATGTAAAGCTGTTAAATTGACATGGATTGCGAAACAAAATTTCAGCAGCAAAACAATGTTTACCACCATAAATTCTTGACCAAACATACGAAGCAAACTAACATGTAGCAACAGAACATTAGTGGCAACAAATTCAGTGGCAAAACAGGATGTTAGTAGCAAACATTCTTGGGGAAAAACTTCACCAATAAACCAATATGTAGCAGCAACAATCATCGGGGAAAATTTCAGCATAAAAAATAAATAAATAAATGTCTGGAAATGAACATCCGAACAAGCACATCACTACAATTAATTTGAACATCCCACAAGAACTAACTCTATAACCCAAAGACTAGAAATCAAACCAATTGAGAAACCAAACACGAAACCCCAATTTCTTGAATCTTGAAACCCTAGTTTAGCGATGTCGGGACGTACTTGCGATTCGTTTTCAATTGGTCGGTAATTAGACGTATGGCAAGTTTCAGTCAGTGAAAGGAGTCGGATGAGCGTAGTTGAACGAGAGGAGAATGAGAGGAGTATCCCACTGACCACCAAGTCGAAGGATAATGACCAGAGTATGAACACCAAGTCGGAGGAGAATGAGCAAAGTATGGAGTCGGATGTTTGCGTTGGAGGGGCAGTCGGATGAGGGAGGGTAAATGGCGATAGGGTTTCAAGTGGAGAGGAGAGTTTCAGACTTGAGAGGAGAGAGAAGGAGCTCATACTTTGGGTGTAGACAGATAAAGAAGTAGAGAGACAGAGAAGTGGGGGTTTGAGATACAAGAGATAAAGACTGTACGTGAGTCCACTCTTTCGAGCCAATTCGAGCCAAATTTGTCGAGCTACAAAACATTATTGGTTTTTTAAACTAAAAAAAAAAATGTTTGATTAATTTATTCTACTAAGCCTTCATTTGTAATATGGGTTGACTTTTTAACTATTTTAACTTGGAATTAAAAAATCTCATTTGAGATTTATTTTTTTAGTTTTTTTAAAAACTTTTGTAAGAGATAAAATAAAATGATTATGATTTAAATATGATATTTTATTTCATTAATTTTTTAATTTATTTTATCTTTTTTTATTAAAATAATCCTAAAATGCTATGCCAAACATAGTAGTGTTTTGAGAAGTTGGTAAAAAGTTGACTTTTGATTTTTTTTAGCCAAAAAAACTAACTATTTAAGTAATGACTTAAGTAAAAAAATTAACTTTTTTAATTAAAAAAATCAAAAGTTGACTTTTTACTAACTTGTCAAAACAAGCCATAGCCTTAAATATGAATCCAACTCCACTGCATCAATAATTATTGGTATGTCACATCCCATCAAAACAAGAAAAAAGAAAATAGAACATGTTTCTGGTATGTGACATCATAGAATATAATTAATAAATTAAATATGAAAAGACAATCTTATAATTCTATCAATCATGATTCAGGTTACAGCCGCCTAGGACCCCCCCAAACGAAGTTGTAGTTTTTTAAAAATCGTGCTAGGTAGCTCGAAACGAGCAAGCCTGAATTGCTCGAAAGTTTGATTTGCCGTGGTTGACACGCGCTTAGTAAATGAAATGAAACAAACGTATAAAAATTCAAAAGCAAAACACAAGAGAGAGGAGAGACGAGAGAGAGCGAGGGAAACGGGAGACTAGAGTTAAGCTGCCACAGTTAAACATCGCCGACGATGACGACAGACTTGGGTGTGCGCCGACGACCAACTTAGGTAAGATGTCATAGTTAAACATCTTCTCCGATGACCACCTCTGTTCGAATCCCTACTGCCGTGCATAGAAGATTAGGTAAGTTCCACTTCTAATTTTTTTTTTTTGCATTTGTGATGTCTGTAAATCTATTAATTTTTGTGATGAATTTGAGATGTTCTGGGTATGTTTTTTTTTCGTTGGTTGTGTACAAACAATTTTTTTGTAATGATGCAATATAGGTGTTTCATGAAAGTCCTAAAAGAAAATAGAACTGGCCAGTGTAAAATAGAAACCAGAACTACCAAACCAAACCATAGAAAACAGTGAAAATATGGTTTATGATCTGAATTTATGTAGTGAAAATATTTTTATGTTCAACAGTGAAAATATGGTTAATGTTCTGCAGTGAAAATATGGTTCATGATCTGAAAATATGGTTTTATTTTGTTTTCGATTATTGAGGCTTTTTAGTGTACAAAATGTGAGGGGTTTTGGACGTACGTGTCATATAGGGTTAGGATTTGCATTACATTATCATACACTCTACCTTTTAACTATCTAAATTCGCTTGTACTTTATTTTTTGCCTGTTTACTAGTATAAAGACTGAATTTTTGTTTCAAGTTATATGCTTCAATGGACATTGAGTCCAACAATTCTTCATTTTGTTTCATGTTACATGTTTTGTTATGCAAGTTGCTGAAATTTTTTTGTAGCTTAAATTATTGACCAATGTATGTTACTATAGGGCCGCAAGGTGCATGAAGGTCAACCTCGCAAGTTACATTTTCCATCTACGGATGCCATGCAATACAGTATGTATGACCTGGAATGTGTTCAACAAACAACCTTATATTTTGTTCTTTGTTTTTATTTTAATTTTGTAAATGATTAATGAAATTATGTTACTATGATCATAAGGTGGGCCAAACTGAACCTTACTATTTTCCTTGCACGGATGGCACGCAACAAAGTATGTATGTACCAGTATGTGTTGAATATATGATACTTAATATTTTTGATTGTTTTAATATAGACATATGTTCGTGGACAATGTTTGTAAATTTTACTTTCACATTGAATATGTACAGTTAGGCCAATGCAAATGGTGGACAATATTGGAAGCACATCTCTTACTCAATCAGGAATGGTGAACAACATACGTAGTCAAACTTCGACAGTTGGATCACAATTTGTTGACTTCAATGTAGATGTGAATCCAAATGGCCAAATTTTTTTTTAGTTTAGTAGTACTACTTTTATGACTTTGGTTTGTAAACAATGGATGGTTTGGTTTGGTTTGTAAACAATGGATGGATGTTTGACTTGAATGGATGGATGCACTTGTTTTGTTATTGATATCAACACCAAAACAAATTTCAAGACCAAAACAGAACAGATATATTGCAACAGATATGGATGGATGTTTGACTTGAATAGATGGTCTAGATTAGTAGTAGTGCTGCTGCATTTGTTTTGTTATTGATAACAAAACCAACACAGATTGCAAGACCAAAACAGAACAGATATATTGCAACAAATATGGATGGATATTTGACTTGAATTGATGGTTTAGAGTAGTAATAGTGTTGTTGCATTTGTTTTGTTATTAATAACAAGACCAAAATAGATTGTAAGACCAAAACAGACCCAAAACAACACGGATATATAGCAACAGATATATTGTAAGACCAAAACAACACAGATATATTGGAAGACCACAATAGCACAGATATCTTGCAAGACCAAAACAGACCCAAAACAATACCAACACAGGTCCATGGCTGGAATAAAAAAAGTTCGCAGGTTGTATACATCTGTTGCACCTGCTGTTTGTGCTTTCTAATAGTAACAACACAATACATTAGTCCAGCTCCAATCCAGCATAATCCATCATCAATAACTATCTATTAGCTATCACAATCCAATCCATTAGTCCAACATCAATAACTATCTATTACTCCAGCACCAAGCCAGCACAATCCATCATCAATAACTATCTATTAGTCTATCATAATGCAATCCATTAGTCCAACATCAATAACCATCTATTAGTCCAGCACCAATCCATCACAATCCATTACAACACGACATTCAATTCATACCAACGTTGAAGAGGTAACATATATTCTTCATCCATCATGTCTACTACATCCATAATTACATCATATCCAATACATCCATAATTACGTTCATCAAATTCCCCAAAAACTAAATTTTTAAGTCATTTACATTACAAAGTACAAAATGATACATAATACAATCACATAAATCATCGCCTTGAAATTCTTTTCAATCCTTTGAAGCCTTCTACCCTGGTCCTGAATTATATTGTCCACCTCCGAAAGCCTTGTCCTTACATCATTGAATTCCTCTGTTCTTATAGCTTTACGAAGTCCAGTATTGGAACGGATTGTGGACGTAATATCCTCATCAGCATCGTCTGCGAACTTGAAGTAATTGCAGTGTTCCTCGTTACTCTACAAAGCATGACAATTAGTTAGTCAGATTACATAAATAATTTTCCAAACAAAAATTTATACAGTCAACAGCAATTCCAAACAAAATTCATACAGTCAAAGGATTGCCAAACAAAATTTCATACAGTCAAAGGATTTCCAAACAAAATTTCTTAGTATTATTAATTTGACTGTTTTGTATTATTAATTTTGTATTATTATTTCCAAACAAAATTAGACTGTTTTGTATTATTAATTTTCTTTTATTACTTACTATGACATGTTATATAGTTATATATATTTGATCAAAGAACTAAGCAGTCTTGCAATGTTTTCATGCTTTTATTTGTTTCTTTCTCTGGTATTATAGGCCTGCAAAGCTTATAAAGGTCATGAAAAAAAGTTTTGATTCCCTTGGTGGAATCATCTTTGAGGGTTGCAATGTGTCTAGCATATGCATATACAAGGATGCAGCAGTAAGAAAAGAATATGGAACCACCAATTAAGAAGCCAAACAAAGGTGAAGAAGATCATTAACAGTTCTTGGAGGAAGATATGAGTTGGAGAAATGTAAAGCTGTTAAATTGACATGGATTGCCAAACAAAATTTCAGCAACAAAACAATGTTTACCACCATAAATTCTTGACCAAACATACGAAGCAAACCAACATGTAGCAACAGAACATTAGTGGCAACAAATTCAGTGGCAAAACAAGATGTTAGTAGCAAACATTCTTGGGGAAAAATTTCACCAATAAACCAATATGTAGCAGCAACAATCATCGAGGAAAATTTCAGCATAAAAAAAAAATAAATAAATGTCTGGAAATGAACATCCGAACAAGCACATCACCACAATTAATTTGAACATCCCACAAGAACTAACTCTATAACCCAAAGACTAGAAATCAAACCAATTGAGAAACCAAACACGAAACCCCAATTTCTTGAATCTTGAAACTCTAGTTTAGCGATGTCGGGACGTACCTGCGATTCGTTTTCAATTGGTCGGTAATTAGACGTATGACAAGTTTCAGTCAGTGAAAGGAGTCGGATGAGCGTAGTCGAACGAGAGGAGAATGAGAGGAGTATCCCACTGACCACCAAGTCGAAGGATAATGACCATAGTATGAACACCAAGTCGGAGGAGAATGAGCAAAGTATGGAGTCGGATGTTTGCGTTGGAGGGGCAGTCGGATGAGGGAGGGTAAACGGCGATAAGGTTTCAAGTGGAGAGGAGAGTTTCAGACTTGAGAGGAGAGAGAAGGAGCTCATACTTTGGGTGTAGACAGATAAAGAAGTAGAGAGACAGAGAAGTGGGGGTTTGAGATACAAGAGATAAAGACTGTACGTGAGTCCACTCTTTCGAGCCAATTCGAGCCAAATTTGTCGAGCTACAAAACATTATTGGTTTTTTAAACTAAAAAAAAAAATGTTTGATTAATTTATTCTACTAAGCCTTCATTTGTAATATGGGTTGACTTTTTAACTATTTTAACTTGGAATTAAAAAATCTCATTTGAGATTTATTTTTTTAGTTTTTTTAAAAACTTTTGTAAGAGATAAAATAAAATGATTATGATTTAAATATGATATTTTATTTCATTAATTTTTTAATTTATTTTATCTTTTTTTATTAAAATAATCCTAAAATGCTATGCCAAACATAGTAGTGTTTTGAGAAGTTGGTAAAAAATTGACTTTTGATTTTTTTTAGCCAAAAAAACTAACTATTTAAGTAATGACTTAAGTAAAAAAATTAACTTTTTTAATTAAAAAAATCAAAAGTTGACTTTTTATTAACTTGTCAAAACAAGCCATAGTCTTAAATATGAATCCAACTCCACAACATCAATAATTATTGGTATGTCACATCCCATCAAAACAAGAAAAAAGAAAACAGAATATGTTTCTGGTATGTGACATCATAGAATATAATTAATAAATTAAATATGAAAAGACAATCTTATAATCCTATCAATCATGATTTAGGTTACAGCCGCCCAGGACCCCCCAACTTGTCAAAACAAGCAATAGCCTAAATATAAATCCAATTTCATTGCATCTATAATTATTGGTATGTCACATCCCATCAAAATAAGAAAAAAGAAAACAGAATATGTTTCTGGTATGTGACATCATAGAACTAGGACCCTAAATTAAATATGAAAAGACAATCTTATAATTCTATCAATCATGATTCAGGTTACAGCCGCCTAGGACCCCCCCAAACGAAGTTGTAGTTTTTTAAAAATCGTGCTAGGTAGCTCGAAACGAGCAAGCCTGAATTGCTCTTGAAAGCCATTATTATCTTTGGGATAGGTTTATTATCTATAATTTTGTTAATCAATGGGGCAGGTCAACCGATTCATCATGAGAAATAGCCAACCAATTTTATATTTAATTTTGAAAAATGTGAGATTTATAATTTATAATTTACAATTTGAGTTTTATATGATCGAATTTATGATAAATTAAAAATTAATATTTAGATCTCATTTTGTCAATCATTAATTTTAGTTTAAAAATTAAAATCACTAAAAAAGTATAAAAAAAAATCTATCAAACTATATAAAAAGGGTAAAGATTTCATTTTTTTTTAATTTTTTGTTTTGTTTTTGTTTTTGTTGTTGTTTTTTTTTTGTAAAAATTAAAAAGTTATCTCAAACATACCCATTTTTTAAGTAAATTACAAATATATCTCTTGATATTTGCTTAAAATACGAATAATTTCCTGTGATTTTAGAAATTAAATTCTACCCCTTGAGAGTCCTAATTTCATAACAAATGACCCATTTTTTTAATAAATTATCAAGTCAATTAATAGTTTTTAATAATATTATAAATATATTTCAATTAATAATTTAAGTAATTTTATTATCATATAAGAGAACAGTTAAATTTTTTAGTTAATTCTATTAAATAAAAAATTCTATTAAATTTTATTTTTTAGTTAATTCTATTAAATAAAAAATTCTGACAAGTGAGTATTTGTAATTTTTCAAATCACATGGAGTAATTTATATTTGTAATTTATTATCTCATATTTTAGCTAAAAAAATTACTAAAATAATATGTTTCAAAGGCCTTAATATATTATGTCATTATAAGTAAAACTAAATAAATAAAAAAACTTCTTAAGAGTCTCAATTTTTTTTATTTAATTATTTTGCCCCTAGACTTGAATTACATCGGACACAAGACCTTTGCCTAATTTAATTGATTACAAAATTGGCAGGTCCCAAACAATTGATAACGTTTTTAAGTTTGAAATACCTATTCTGATAAGCATCTGCAAATGATATTTTAAGACAAATATCATACACATGTATACATTTATTAAGACTTGGTTTGAGATAATCTACCAAAGTTAAAAGGTAAGGACTGGGGTTCCCTCTAGTGATTGGAGCGTATTGTTGGGCTTGTGAGGCTTCATCACGGGTCTCGTTTTGATAATTCGAACCGTTCAATGTGTAGAACTCGTCGAATACTATATGTCTTTAAAGAATTACGTTGATCAAATATCGATAGTTATCTCTTCGGATTAGATTTCTGTCAATCATTTATTTTTTCACTATCTATTTTTTTTATACAAAACTGATTTGATCACGTAGTTATCGATATCCGATTAACGTGATTTTTTACAAGCATATAGTACTTGACGTGTTCTACACATTGAACAGTTCAGATTATCGAAACGGAACCCGTGTTGGGCTCACATGGGCCCAACAGTACCCTTCAGTTTGTCGAAGTGGATGGAAGCCAGCCCCAAAGCTAAAAAGTTACACAAAAGTCAAAAAGTTCATACTACTTGAGGGGAAGCTTATGGGGAAGCCTAGAGGGCAAATTTATTATTTTGCCCTTTGAACCCAAAAGTCAAAAAGTTAAAATTCAAAAAGGCAACAAGGGTGGAATGATCATTTTGATTTTGTTACAATATTTTATTACATATCTTTTCATAAAAAGTCAAAAGGTTATCCCAAACATACATCTTTTTTTTCTCTACTTTTTTAGTCAAAAAGTATACTTATATAGCATATCCCAAACAACCCCTAAATATAAATAAATAAGTCTCACTTCCATTTATTAATATCAGCTTTACTATTTTATATCTAAGGGCATCTCCAACGATTCACCATTTTTTTCATCAAGTCTGAGTAAAAAAAAAGATCAGTTCCTCGATCTGATATTAGTCACTCCAACAGTGTACTGTAGGTTTCATCAAAACACAGTGAACGTCTGGGGGGACAACTAGCCGGTTGACCAGGTAAGGAAAATGAATTTTTCTTTTCCCTTCATTTTTGTTTCCCAATTCGTTTCCCATTTCTTTTCCTTTCATTAAATCTTTTCTAATTTTTATTGCCTCCAATAAAGATTTCCTTCCAAAAACTGATATAAACAAATGTGGGGACACATTTTATGAATGACAGCACATGGCTAAGGTGGCGCTGAAGTGTCAGTCAAGGTGCCACCTGGCTTGGTCATCTGTCAAGGTTATCTGCAGAGATACCAAAATTTGAGATGAGCGAATAAGGGACAAAAGTCTTAGAACAGATGAGGATCTCAGTCTGGATAAAGATAAAGCTCTTAGGGAGTTTATCTTTATCTAGCTGAGAGTCTAGGATGAGCATTGAGCCTAAGTCTACTGAAGTGAGGCTCCTATAAGGATCAAGTCAGTGCTGGCTATAAAAGCAAGGCACCCCCGTGGGTCTCAGGTATGTGTGATATATTGTGAGCAATAAGCTCTTTCTTGTGAGTTAAGCAAAATTTGCTATCTTTGAGAGATATTTGATTACTGACTTGATCGTTGGAGTGCCCCTTGGCGGACAAACCACCGTCGAATTCTTATCTTCCTGTGATAAGTTGTTCGAGCTTAATCTATTCTGTCGGTGCTCTCCAGTTGAGTTCCCCTTTTGGTTGTGTGGTCGGAAAGCAACACTCATAATTTGGCGCCGTCTGTGGGAACGTAAGGAGAATAGATCGTCAATGACGGGCAGAAAGAAAAGATCAGGAACGACGTCCTGTGTGGGAGTGGTAAACATGTTGATCCTAACATCAAGAAAGAAAACCATAATGAAGGAGCACGGGATCAGAATCCCGGGGATAAGGACGTCGACAAAGAGGGAGATGCCCCGAAGAAATTAGGCCGAGATGAGTATTACAACGAAAGCGACCTTCAAGTATGGAAAGATAGATGCCTGATGAGGGATCGCGAGATGAAGGGAATGGCTAACAAGTTGGTAGATCTACAATTGGTTGTCAACTTCATGATGCAGAACAATGTCATGCAACCACCGTTTCTGTTATAGGACACGCTTATGCCAGGGGCCAAGATTGATGCCCAGAAAGGAGGGTGGAAAACAATCCCAGCAGTCCCACAGCATGGCAGGAAAAGGAGCCCTCACATCGGCCTTCATGGGATGTTGGGTGAGGAGAGTCGGTCAAAGGTGACTCGCAGAAGACACCTCGTACCAGGGGAACATATGTCAAAGAACCCCAGAATATCTAGGGGAAGGGCCTGTGTTTTGACACGGTGAATGAAGAGAAGTCTAAGAGGACACATAATGACACCAGGAGTAGCGTACTGAAAAGACTGAAATTTGTTAACAGCTGAGCTCCTGGTCGGACGAAGAAGGATTTGAGGGATTACCTCCAGAGGAAGCGGCAGAATGCCGAGGTCACATCCCCCGTCAAGCCGAAAACGCCGTTCTCAATGGAGTTGGATAAGTTTGAGGCCCCAAAAAGGTTCCATATGCCAAGGTTCCAAATTTATGATGGTAAGTCCGATCCGAACTTTCACGTCGACTTATATCTGAATTTAATGGTTTTGTATACTGGGAATAAACCGTTGCTATGCAAGGTGTTCCCCTCATCCTTTGGGAAAATTGCATCGGATTGGTTTCACAAGTTACCGAAAAGAATTGTGAAGAGTTGGGAAGGCTTGGCCGAGATGTTTGTGGCCAGGTTTGTTACAAACAAGTTGCAGCCACTAAGGGTAAACTCCTTGATGGCTCACAAAATTAGCGAGAGTGAAGGCCTCAGGACTTATGCCAAGAGGTATTATGAGGCGTTCAACCGAATACCGAGATGCAACCAGGAATTGGTAGTCGTGTCTTTTAAGAACGGCCTGGAAGATGAATGCCCGCTTCGAAAGTCGCTGGCAAAAACTCTACCAAAGAGTATGGAGGAGCTCATGCAGCGAATCGAGAAATATGCCAGAGCAAAAGAGGATATGCCGGGAACAAAAGCACTGAAACAAGAGAAGAGGAACGGCT